GAGTTTATACCTAATGTCATGATCAAGAGGGATCCGCTAGTCTCTAAGCTGTCTGCGGCGGAAATATCAGTAAATATGTCGCGTGGACCACAAGTATGATATTTACAAGAACAATCAATTCGAATTGAGAATTTGAACTGAGTTGTAGCGATACACTGCCGACGTGACATCGCGCCTTCTGAAATAAAGACCAGCAGTGGCGGTGCGCACCTAGATAATAAGCATAGTATGCTTGTTCTAAGTTAGAAAACGCATCTGCACGGGAAATGCAGATACATAATTTTAATAATTCTTGCGATCTCGTTTTTCTGAATGAATAGATGAAAAGAAATCGCACAACAAAGAGTTAGAGAACTGTATGCAAACTTATAAATATAGAGATGAAAGTAAGAATAAACTTGAAAATAAAAAAGTTGCCGTACTTTTGTAATTTAGGTTTCCGGTCTCCGATTAGCAAACACTTTTTGCTTTTCATATTTTTGCTTACCTTATACCAACACTTTTTATGCATCTCTTCAACCAAAATGCATAATCAAATCCAAGCATTACTCCATATCATGGTACGGACCTAGGTATTTTTATCTTAAGAAAGAAAATGCGCTACAAGTTAAATCGCCACAGTACTTGCTCTGATTGCACGCTCTACAAGTTACAAAGAAGACTTCTTACTTTGATTTTTAAGAGGTATTCGTTTTCGGAAGGCTCAACTGGAGACCTGTGCGGCCTGGATAAGATAATGAGGCTTAGAATATATGCACTTATTACAGCCGAATTCAAAGCAGCCCCGATACACAAGTTTACCAAGCATCTAACAGGACAGGAGTTTGTTGATTACATAAATGCCATCCAACCCTACTATAAGGTAATCAAAGCATTTAGATTGATTGTATAATGTTAGAAAAGAGTCGCGGCTACATTGCTGACTATGGTCTATGTACAAATAGACCTGCTAAGGAGGAGGGAATAGATCACTTTAACGTCCACAACCAAAACCGCCACTTGAACAGTCAGGTTATGTAGA